CCATCGAAGGTCGCAGAAAGTTGCAGGAGCTGAGGTCAGCGGGTGGGGGATGGGGCCGGGCCGCGAGGGCTGCGGCAAAGCGCTCCTCTGTCACCTGCGCAGCTTTCGTTCTCCACGGAGCTTAGAGAGTCACGGCCCCTGTGGTCTGCCATTAAAGAGTATGGCTTTGACAACTGGCAGGATGACTGATTGCTCATTTATACAACTCACAGTGGTGCGTAGATGGGGCATGAATATTTACTGCCTCCAGCTGATGCCACTCTTGATAATGCAAAGTTAGATATCAAAAATGCTGGCACCCTAACACACGATCTCATTGCTACTGCGAGGGATGGGCACCCCACTCTCCTCTAGGTACCCCGAGACAGGCTCTTTAGGTGTGGATGAGGCCAGGCAAATATGCTAGGTCTCCCCTCCTCCCCAGGCATGAAGACCAAGCCCACAGCGAGCTGCTGGGATGCTGAGCTGGGGTGGGGGAGGGGGCCCTGCAAAGCTAGAGGTGGTGCATCTCCTGAAGGTTCCATTTCGTCCTCCAAACAATTCTGATATTTCCACTGGTGCCTGCTTCTGCCCAGGTGTCTCCATTCGCAGCTGCACACTGACACCTTCCCTCTCTCAGACGAGCCTGAGTCCTTCACTCCTCCGGCCCCACCCGCCACGGAGAGGACATACCACTGCAGCCCAGGACCTCGGGCCAGCCAGGCTCCATCTCGCGGGTCTTGATGTGAACCCGCACTCTACAGCCTTCAAAGGATGTTTCCCTTATTTTCCCTCCAGAGCCCAGTTCTCGATGTTTGCCGGACGTGAGAACTATGTGGGGAGTTTTTCATTTGTTTGTGTGGTTTTAAAATATCAGTGTGCAGATCCTACCACAGAGCAATGAAATCAGAATCTTTGGGGTGGGGGCCAGGCATTAGTATTTTCAGAATTCTCCACACGATTCCAATGTGTAGCCAGGGCTGAGAATCGCTGTGCTAGTGGGGTCTTCTTCAACTTTAATGTGTGCGAAAAATCCTCTAAGGATCTTATCAAAATGCAGCTTCTGACTTAGCGGGTCTGGGGAAAGGCCCAGGAGTCTGCATGTCTAACAAGCTCCCATGGGACACAGTGGCTGCGATCCGTGGACCACACTTGGAACAGCAGGGGTCTACGGCAGCCAGATTTGAGGGGTGGGGGATGGAAGCAGGCTTCTCTGGTTTTCAGTGTTCAAACCAAGTGTCCGTTTTAAAGCTCCCTTCTAAGTTAGAAAGGAGCTTGCTGGAAGAGTTAGGGTAAAAGGCTCTTACAGACGGGAAGAGGGCTTTTCTGTTACGTGTGATTAGGAGCTTCCACATCTAAGAAATATTGCAGGATCCATTCTCTGTTATACGTAAAGTGCCTAGCAGAGTGCCCAGCATGCAGTAAGTGCTCAGTCTGTGGTACTGTGTTATCATTGTTTTTATTGTTATTACTGCAGGACCCTTATCCACTTCCTAGACCGAACAAGCATGTGTTTTCAACGCCCAAAACCCTAACTGGGCCCCACGACCCACGTTCATCCCCAGAGAATGTGGCCGGAGCAGGAGCCACGCACAGGAAGGGGTGGGGCCAGGAACCTGCAGCCCAGACACGGCCACGGACCCTGTCTGGTCTGAGGACACCAGTGCGTTGCCTTTGGTTCTCTCATTCATTTAATTCATTTTCCAGGAGTTGTGGATATACTTCCACAGCCTGGTCATGGATAATAGTATTTGCTACGAATGGGGACCTGTTTTAAGTGCTTTACTCAATATACCTTTAAAACACCTCTAGGCCACGGGTACTATTAGCCTCAAGGGCAGACAAAGAAACTCAAAAATGCAAAGATACTTGCCCCAGATCACACACATAGTAAGAGACAGGGCCAAAAAACACCGAAGAGGATATAGTTCAGGGGCCACGCTCTCCCAGTGCTTCCCAAACTTTAATTGCTAATTGATTTCACTAGAATACAGTTCACCTTCAGTAGGGGAGGTGGAGCCTCAGGGTCTGCATTGCTCACAAGCTGTCAGGTGGCGCTGATGCAGCCGGCCACCAACAGCATTTCGAGTAGCAAAGCTACCCCACACACTCTGACTCCTCCTGGTATGCCTAGAAATCTTTCTTAATATCCTCCTAACAACTCTTGCCACCTTACTCCTGCAATTGGTGGTTTGTTGATTTGATGAGTGGCACAATCACAGTAAATTCCCACTTTGAACACTTACCCAAAATTCTGTTTAAGTTTAAACAGAACTGCTCAAATTGCAATATTTTGTGGCAAAGGATATCAGCTATTTGGAAAAGCATCATGTCCATTATAAGCTGTAGAAGTTGTGGCTTGTGATGAAATTGCTTTTAAATTTACGTGTCACCACCGAAAATGCTTTCTGGGTCCAGGAAACAATTCCCATCTCTAAACACAAAGTGGAGAGTTCCAATTTGAGAAAGACGGGGGTGGGGGTGGGGGGATTTCTTGAAACACAGAAGTGAATCATACAACCGTCAGCTTGCTTTCTTGGTTCACTAGAAGAAAGGATGCATATAGAAACCAGAAGAAATGACAAATCTTTCTGCTCAGTGAAGGCTGTTTAAGGGCGAATCAAGGCTGTCCACCTAATCAGTGGACTGGGTCTGGATTCAGTGGTGGGGAACTAGCCCACTTGTGATGAGACAGAGAAAACTCGGAGGGGTGAGGATAAACGACCAGAAGTGCTTGTCGTGCCAGAGTGACCTGAAGTTTCAGAGTCACAGCAAGGCTCTGGAGGAGACTGACTTCAAATGATGCATCTTGGGGAAAACCAGAATACCCTACTCACAGCAGCCGTAATACCAAGGTTAGATGGAACAGGGACCGGTGAGCAGAATGGTCAGTCACAACGGTGCCTTTATGCAATGTCCACAGCCCAGTGACTCGCCAGCTTCACTGCACACTGCCATCACCCGGGAAGCTTTACGCTCTCAGCCCATTCTCAGGCCACGCCCCCACATCAATTAAATCACAATCTCTGCGGGTGGGGCCCAGCCAGCTTTAATTTTTAAAACTCCCCAGGTGATTCCCACATGCAGCCAAGTTGGAGAACCACCGGCATAGGCTTCCAGGGTCTTCACTCCCAAAATGAAGGAACCCTTTGGGCCCCGTGATTCTTCACTCTGCCTGCGTGTTAGAACCATCTTGGGGAGATTGTTAAAAATACTCATGTGATGCAGACACAATCCCTAGAAATTCCAGTTAATCTGTGGAGCCCAGGCGTCAGCATTTTTAGGAGCTCCCCAGGTAATTCTACAGTGCAGTCAGGTAGATGACCACTGCTCCAGAAGTCCTTGCCAAGACTCCTTCTATTGCTTATACTGTAAGGATCCGTGGTATGAAAGCTGAAAATGCATCTTAGACTTTTTGCAAAGGCGGAGCCCTCATCTTTACCTTTGCATGGGGGGATTTCTAACTGTGGAGGAGTCTGAATCCCCTAAACCCTACATAAACTGTGGATGCATGGGTGTATTTATATGCATATGTATGTATATTTCTGGGGAGAATGCCCTCAGCTTTTGTTAGATTCTCAAAAGATTTATGATTGCTATCTTAAAAGCAAATATGTGGTTTCTGACTTAATAAATTTAAGAAAATGAAAGAATGAATGGAAACTACATTGGATCTCAGCAGTACCTTTGCTAGTTTTGGATGTGAGGCCCACCTACTGCCAGCAGGAGGTTGTGTATCCTTATTGCAGGTTTAGTTCAGATCATATAGCCCAGTGGTCCCCAACCTTTTTTGCACCAGGGACCAGTTTCATGGAAGACAATTTTTCCATGGATGGGGAGGGGTGGGGGGCAGCAGAGCTCTGTGGCCCAGTCCCTAACGGGCCAAGGCCCAACATCAGTCTGCGGCCCAGGGGTTGGGGACCACAGATATAGCCCATCCCCCAAAAAACTGCAGGGGTGACAGATGTGAAGATTTCAGATCCAAGCATCAAAGCAGAAGTTGTCTCTGGGGCTGGGATCAGTGCTTGGCTGTCTGTACTGTTCACGGTGAGATACGACTTCCCAAGCCGTACTTGTGAGGAGACTGTGCGCTCAGATATTTGGGATTCACGTCCTCAAGTGGGTTTTCTAGCCCTGACTGTTGGTAAGTATTTGCCCTGGTTTGAATCCTGGTTTTTTCTCTTACTCTGTGACCTCGGGAAAGCTATTTAACTTTTCTATTCCTCATATAAAATGGGGATAATATAAGCACTTCTAAGATTGCTGTGAAGAATAAATAAGAAAATACATGTAAAATGCTTAGCATTAACTCTCGGCACAGAACAAGATCCCAATAAATATTTAGGTTACATTGCTGTTATTACTGATGTTTTTATTGTTATTAACACCTCGGTGACCTTGTTCGAGTTACTAAATTTCCTCGAGCTTCATTTATTAATCCATAAGACAAGGACAAGCAGCTCTGCTGTTTCTTTCATAGTGTTACAGCGATGATCAAGTAAAGAGGTAGAAGGCGCGTCATTATTAAATAGCAACTCATCACACATCCAGGGACTCCACAGAGCACAGGAAAGAGTCACCCGAAAATACAAGCGTAATTCCCATCCCCAGGAAGTGCTCTTTGAAATTCCAACAGTCGAGCAGGCTCCAGCTCTGAGTGCAGTGATTTCCTGTCACATATCTAGCATCCTAGGCAGCCTAAACCTTCCCACCGCATGGGAGAATGGGTGACCGTACCCCGCCAAGCTGCTGCAAGCTTCCCTTCTGGTAAGAGAATTATACCAGCCACTCACTAAATCACAGATGCTTGAAATTGTCAGCCCTGGTCCAACCCAGACACTGACTGGCAGCAGTCTCTCCAGTTCCACACTCTCCCCAGGGACACAGTCCCCAGACTCTTCCACAAGCCTGCCTGTCCATCAAGGAGTCCCTCACCGTACCATGGTCCATGACCTGCCTCACTGGAGCAGAAACATCTCACCAGCCTCAGCAAAGCTTCAAGGTACTGAGCTCTCACTTACCTGGAGTCTGCTTGGCCGTACGCACGGGGGTGTAGTGGTTTTTGGAGGACGATCTGACCGGCGTGTTCTCTTTGGGAGAGGTATCGATAGCCGAGATAGTTTCTCTTTCACAGTGTGCTATGGGGATTGGTCCCTGTTGTCTTAAGATGTCAGCCAGAGCCCTAAACAAGGAGGAGATCACACCGTGAGATTTACTGAGCAGGTGCGCACAACCACAAAGGCAGCTCGCTTACTTCATGGGCCCTTTGATTTACGGACATACAGGAGGAGACAGAGACACAGCGTTCGGTTCTCAATAGTCACAGCCTCATCTGGGGCTGGTCTCAGTGGGGACACAGGGCACAGGTTATCACGCCTGCAGGGGCAGATGTTATCATGGATGGGGGACAGACTCTAAAAGGCTGTGACCATAGTTTCTTTTTGTAATTCACTTCCATCAGCGAACCCTGAGCCCTTTCAAAACCCTGGCTCCCCAAACGCCTACATATGCCAGGCATATATCCACAGCAGCTGGCCGGTGGAATGTCATCCCAGGGAGGGCTGACACTGCTGGCCTCAAATTCAGCAGCAGGTTACTAACATCAGACGACCACCTCCCCATCCCAAAACACACACCTCGTGGCATACACCAGATACTGGAGACGCAGATAAGAATAACACACAGCTCCTGCCATCAGGGAAAGGTGTGATTTAACTGCAAAGACAGGATGTACAGATAAAAAGATAAAAATCAACACATGGATGGTGCAGACAGTGAAGGCAAGCGGAGTTTAGAGGAGGGAACAGCTGCAAACACAGGGAGAAAAATGCACAGGAAGAAAGAGAGGCAGGCAGAGGCCTTGCCATAGTTGGAGAAAGCCAGCTCCTGCCAGAGGTCCAGTTACCCAGAGAAAGCAGATTTTACTTACACAATACCTAGCACCAACAACCAAACAGGCATTTGCTGAGGACTCAGCAAGCATTGGTCACTGCAGAGACAGAGACAAACAGGACCCCATTCCTGCCATCTAGGGGCTCACAATTTAGGTGGAATCACTCCCCGACCTGGTTTCAAATGGGACCTCTTCTGCGAGTGTGACATGTGATACCCACTGGCAGTGCAAAGCAAAACTCATAGGGATCCTCTAAGGATGCACAGGTGAGTGTGGACAAACCACAAGAAACCACACAGGGACACCGTCGCTTCAGGGCCAGGTCCCCAGTTCTCAGTGCACCTCTGTTTTGCACGAGCCCGTTAAGGACTCTTCCATCTCCCCAGGATATCTCTGAGGAGTGGGGTCCCGCCCACCTGAAATCCGGCCATGCCCAGCTCATCCCAAAGCTTCCTTTGCACGGAGTCCAGCTGTGAGACTCTGCGCCCTTGGAAAGTGACAACCATGGCAGTTTAGAAACACGTCTGAGAGGGAACTGTCTCCATCCATTATACCGCCTCTGACATGCTGAACCTTTCTAGGAAAAGAGCATCAAGCTGGCAATCTTATCATTTAGTGGCATTTATACTGCAATTTCAGATTTTCCAAATGCTTTCCCTTCACTGGCTTTCTTTTCTCTCAGCCTGTGAAGGAAGGAGCAGACACACACGCCGCCACCCCTGCTCACGTCCGTGGAACAAGCAGTCAGGGAGAACGCAGAAATGCACAGGTTTGGTAAAGGAAATCCAGGCAGACCTGGGATCCAGGTCCTGAGATCTGACATTCAGGACCTGGGAGTATGAAAAAATTGTTGCCCCAGAAAGTCAAGAGATCTGAGTTTCAATCCCAGCTCTTCCACTGAATAGCCGGGAACCTTTGGACAGATATGTTAACCACTAAAACTGAAATTTAATTTTTTTTCCCATCACCAAAACAAAAAGTTTAAACTAACATGACCACTGAAATCCCTTTTAATGCTAACATTTGATAACTTTATGTATGTTTAATGAGGCATCCAGGAAAGTTATCTTGATTGCTTCACTTGTGATCATCAAAGACCCTTTCCTATCATCTTTCTATGATAAGAAAACGGTGAGTTGTAAGTTATAAACTCATACACCTCTATTCAATCAATTTTCAATAAGGGTGCGGAGATCACTCAATGGAGAAAGGATAGTTTCTTCCACAAATGGTCCTGGGACAACTGGATATCCACATGCAAAAGAATGAAGTGGATCCTTACCTCACACCATACAAAAAATTAACTCAAAATGGATTTCATACCTAAATATTAGTCCTAAAACTATAAAACTTAGAAGAAAATGTAGGAGTAAATCTTTGTGACCTCAGATTTGACAATGGTTTCTAGGATATGACACTGAGAGCACAAGCAACAACAAAAATAGATAAATTAAAAATGTGCATCAGAGAACATAAAAAAATTAAAGATAACCCATGGAATGGGAGGAAACATTGTGAAATATATATCTGATAAGAGATTTGTATCCAGACTATATAAATAAATCTGATGACTCAATAATAAGAATGACAAAACAAACAACTCAATTTTAAAACGGGCAAAGGATTTAAATAGGCATTTCTCCAAAGAAAGTATACATGACAAGTAGTTCAGCAGCATTAGTCATGAGGAAAATGCAAACCAAAATCACACCGAGACATCCCTTCGTACACACTAGGATAGCCATAACCGAAAAGCCACGTAATACCCAGTGTTGGCAAGGATGGAGAAATTGGAGCCTTTGTACACTGCTGACGGGAATGTAAAATAGTACAGCCCCTTTGATAAACAGTTCAGCAGCTTCTTAAAATGTTAAACACAGAGTTAATATATGATCCAGCAATTCTACTCCTAGGTACTCCCAAGAGAAATGAAAACATGTGTCTATTATTCAGTCATAAAAAGGAAAGATATACTGATACATGCTATGACATGGGTGAACCTTAAAAACGTCATGCTAAGTGATAGAAACTAGACACAAAAGACCACAGGTATACAGAATGCCAGTTAGATAAATGGCAGGGGCAGGTGGGGAGAGTGACTGCTGAGGATGTGGGGTTTCTTTCGGGGAGGATGAAAATGTTCTAAAATTAGGTATCAGTGACAGTTGCACAGCTCTGTGAATATACAAAAATCATTGAATTATACACTTTCAAATTAAAGTATGAATTTTATGGTAGATAAATTACATCTCAATAAAGCTATTACCAAAAAAAAAAAATTCTATTATTCTTCTTTCTTTTTCTTGCCTCCCAAGTTCTTACAAAGACTCTTACTTCTCTGGTGCCTATGAAAGAGCATGGAGTCATGTGTTTGAATCCGTTGCCTTCGGTAAGCCAAGACTAAATAAATCTGCATCGCTGGCTCTCAACAGAGTGCTTCTTTCCCCCTGGAGCAGGTGTGGTGATGTCCGAAGACATTTTTGATTGGTTGGCACAACCGAGAAGGGAGGTGCTACTAGCATCTAGTGGGTAGAGGCCAGGGGTGCTGCTCAACATCCTATAACTCACAGAACAGTCCCCACAACAAAGAACTAGCAAACCCAAATGTCAACAGAGGCGAGGCTGAGAAAGCCTGATCTATGTCCACACAGTGCCCAACGAAGTAAGTGTTTAACCCTCGACACAATCTGGTTCCACAAAGGCCTCCTGAGCCTTGGGCTGGGCCGTAGGGACACAGGGGGTCTGGAGACACTACAGTGAGTGTCCCAAAGAAGGGGGGCCTTGTCTGTTTGGGTCATCACTGCATCCTCAGGTCTTGGCACGTTACCCGGACATTTTACACACAGAGAAAGGAATGACGGTGGACCCTGCCACAGCCTTGAGGGGTATTCTGCCCGGCAAACTTTTGTCCACTTGACAGTTTAAATGGCAGTTCCAGAGTAGACTGGCCAAGGAAGATCCAGCAGAAAAGAATTTTTCAAACCAAGCTTCCCTATCCCAGGCTGAGGAGACTCCCCGTGCCCATCTCCCGAGAAGCCCTGCAGGACACCGGCACTGTCCCGGGCCCGGCTGGACGGCCGCCTTCCTGAGCACCATCGGGCTCAGGGCATCCCAAGGGTGCACAGGTCTGCCTTGCTGCTGGAGAATGGGTTTGAACGGAGGGTTCCAGCAAGGCTATCTCCCCATCTCTAGGTCACCAGAGGAAGAAGAGAGGCTTGAACCCTACAATGCATCCTCTCTTCGGGGAGAGCTTCGGACGCCCGTGGGCTGGGCTGAGCTAGGCAGCACAGCCACCAAGTGCGGGGGTGGTGATGTGCAAGAAAAGGTGTTTCTGAAGAGAGGGCTGCCCCATGGGCTACCTGGGGGCTGGGGCTCCACCACGTGCTGTCCCAGCGAGGAGCATGGTGGTCAGGGGAATGGCCCTGGTGCCCCACCCCCTCCTGAACATGCTCCATGACCTCTCCTTTCCCAGCGCCCTCTGGCACCTGGGAAGGCGACCCTCATCCCCAGACCCCGTGCATGGCTCAGGCGCCAGCCCCTCTGCCAGCTCCCGCCGCTCTCCTCAGCTTCGTAACCGACCTCCTTGCTCCGGTTCCTCTCCATCTTCCAACCCCTGCTCTCCAGGGTGCGCGATAAATATTATTCTAATTCTGAAATGTGCGAGCCTGGTCTCACCTAATTAATTCGGATACGCCAGAGGAAATGGGTTAAGGCCTGAGCTACTTTCTAACCGTAGGAAAGAAAATTGGTCACCAAGGAACAGTGAAGCGGATTTTGTAAAAGAGTGGGCAGCGGCTTTCGGTGCCTGAGAGTGCAGCAGGGACAGGCAGACGGTGACAAACACAGAGAGAGGGAGGAAGGGAGAGGCCGAGGAACAAAGGTTGAGAAAGAAAGAGAGGGAAGGAAACAGGTGGAGAGAGCAGGAGAGAAAGCGGAGACGGAGCCAAACAGATGGACTGAGAGAGAGAGAGGGGTCGAAACTCCCAGCAAGAGAAAGATGGAGAGGTTCGGAGAAGAGAGCCAGAGAGAGACAGGGACAGACAAGCAGGAAGGAGGAGACAATTCAATTCAGAAGACAAGAGACGGGGAGAGGGGATCAGAGAGAGACACTGGGAGGGAAAGAGAATTGGAGGGAGAAGGACACACAGACACGCCAAGGGGTCCAGACAGAACAGTCGCTGGCCCGGTGCCCGGGCAGAGCGGGAGCTGCCCCGTCCCACCCAGGGCCCCTGTTGCCCTCCCAAGTTGACTACCGATGTGCACGATGTAGGAACCTGAAGACTCACCCT